TCAGCCCCAAGACAGGAATGGAAATGGCCTTGGTCCCCCATTTATTTCGTGGTCCTGGGCCCTACCCAGCAGGGGCCTGTGGGGCCCTCTCCAACTCCCGCTTCCTGTCCCCTTATCAAGGACCAAAGGTGAGCCGAACGGCCTCCTTACCGTCTGGGCTGTCCCCGGGCCTCCACAGGGCGTTGGAGGGTTGTGGAGTGCGCGCGGGCTCGCGGGTGCCCAAGGCTGTGGGCGTTCCTGAAGAGTGCGTGCGCAGCCGCACACGCACGTGTAGAGATGCAAGCCTCTGGACGGCTGTGTGGTCGCAGGTGCTTTTGAGGACTGCTGCCTGGCCTACCACGGCCCAGCAAGACGGTCCATGCTCCGGTATGCCCAGAGTTACCATCGCCAGGACGTGAGCGGGAGCTGCAACCTGCCTGCGGTGATGTGAGTGGGACCATGGGGGAGGGGGTGGGGACTCCCGCGCAGCGTCGCTCCCCACTTACACCCCCATCCCTGCAGATTCTTCTTCCCCCAGAAAAACAAGATGGTGTGTGGGAAGCCAGGGGCCAGGTGGGTGCAGATTGGGATGAAGATCCTAGATGCTCGAAAGAAGACTCAGTTAAAGCCCCACCACGGCACCCGGAGAAACTTCCCGGGTGGGTGAGACCCCAGCCCAGCATCTAAGGGGCCGACCCTCCCTGCTGTGGGTTCCTGAGCTTCTCAACCCCCAAAGGAGGGGATGGCAGGCCAGCATCTGACAGCTGCCTGCACCCCAAGAAGAGTCAGTGGCTTGTGAGTGGGAGGCTTGAGTGAACGTGCAGCTCTTTCAGTCAAGACACTTTGAATTGCTAGAGATGGAAAATTCAAGCAAATGGGAAACTCATTGGCTCAAATAACCACCCAATGGGCGGCATCAGGCTGGGCTGGATCCACGTAATCCGAAGGTATTGGTGGAGCTCTTATCTATTTCTCTTGCCTTCTCTCTGACAGTCCCTCATTCTGGGGTGAGGAAGTTGAGCCCCGGAACCTCCACGCTACCATTGTCGAAGTTTAGTGGTCCCACCAGAAACAGCAAGAGGAAAACCTCTCTCCTGACAACAGCTAAGCCAGGTCAGGACTCTTGAGCACGTGACCATTCCTCCCCTCATCACTGCTGAGGAATGAGGGCTCCTGATCAGCCCAGACTGGGTCAGGGGACTCACCTCCAGGACCACGGAGGGCTGGCTCTGTGGTCAGCCCCACAGATACACACAGGAGGGTCCTAGGGGGCTGTTCATTATTACCCTGCTCCGGCACAGGGAGCTTCGGCAAGTGCTGAAATGAAACGCCAAGTGTGTGGACCGAAAACTTCAGGGCCCCTGACTCCACTCCAGCCCCCCTCCCCTGCCGATCCGCCCCATCCCTCCTACAGGACCATGAGCCCGCACTTCTCTAGGATCAGCCAGCAAGAGATAGGCTGGACCTCTGTATGCCACAGTTATCACCCTGCAGCCTCGTGTGCCCCAGCCCCTCTGTGCTTCAGGGTAAATCTCAATCCCCGCACCTGAGGCTGCATCAGTTCCCTCCCTGTCACCCCTGCTACCTCCTGCTCCTCAGATAGCTGGAACAAGGGAGCTCTGTTATTTCAAGACCCGTGCCTGCTCCAGGCAGGCACCAGAGTCACACCGGCCTGGGCAACAATTCTTGGAAAGAACCATCACTATAGTTGCCTACCTGTAGGGACACACCTGCGTGTGTCCCTCTGGGTCTTTGCAAAGCTTCAGTTCTCTCCCAGGATGTGCTTCTCTGTAACTTTTAAATAAACCATTGGTGGGACGTCACTCCTGTCTCTGTCACCTTTCATTGTGGGGTGCGAGTCCCCAGCCTGTGTTGAAACCCACGTGATCCCCTCCCACCCCAGGATCTGTGCTCTCAGTGTGGGGTGCTGAGCACTGGGGCCTGGGGCGCTGAGCACTGGGGCCTGGGGCCAGGGTGTAGACTCAAAGGAACTTCCAGGCCCTACTACACTGTGTGGGTATGCAGAGCAGATGCCATAAACTCTCTGAGCCTCGGTTTCCCCGCTGTAACACAGAGCTGATAACACTGCCTGCCTCATACAAGTCTGTGGGGACTAAATACACTGCCGTTTGTGATATACAGCACACGCACAAGCTATGTGTTAACACAGTGAGTATCCCATCCACTGAGCTCAGCCATCAAATTCAATAGATCCAGCCCAACCTGGAGTCAGGCAGGATGGAGCCAGCACACTGGCATGGCTGCCCAACTTTGAATCTGGTTCTTCTACCTGTAATCTGGTGTCACCTCGGCCAAGTCACTTAACCTCTCTGAGCCTCAGTTTTCCTATCTGTAAAATGGGGATGAGAATAACAGTATCTATTCCATGGGGCCATAGTGATGATGTAATAAGGAAGAATTTTTTTTTTTTTTTGCGGTACGCGGGCCTCTCACTATTGTGGCCTCTCCCGTTGCGGAACACAGGCTCCGGACGCGCAGGCTCAGAGGCCATGGCTTACAGGCCCAGCTGCGCCGCGGCATGTGGGATCTTCCTGGACTGGGGCACGAACCCGTGTCCCCTGCATCGGCAGGCAGACTCTCAACCACTGCGCCACCAAGGAAGCCCAGGAAGAACTTTTTATATTCTATTACAAGTTAATCACTAAAGGGATGTTGCCTATAAGCTTAAATTATACATAATGGCCCACCTTGGGCCAGGAACCCTGCTTCTCAGGTAATGAGCACCCAGCTAAAATACCTTTGTTTAGCTCACAGGAAACATCCAGGCCAGGCCCACCTGTGAATGTCTGCAGAAAGAAATGAACACATCCCCTCCAGAAGCTGACCAGAACAAGGAAATTGGTTTGACATTACTCCCTCCCCTTTTAGTATAAAAGAAGCCTGAATTCTAACTCAGGCAAGATGGTTCTTTGGGGCACGGGTCCACCACCTTCTCGGTTTGCTGGCTTTCCGAATAAAGTCGCTATTCCTTGTCCCAACAACTCGTCTCTCGATTTACTGGCCTGTCATGTGGCGAGTAGTATGAGCTTGGACTCAGTCACAAGGACTGAATGGGTCAGTAATTGTACAATACTTAGAATGGTGCCTGGTACATAGTATGGGGTCAGGAATCATGAGCCATTATTATCAGTAATGGTGAACCCACAAGGGATCCAATGGTTGCCACTTGCAGCCTGGCTTTGTGCCAAACTCCCAGGTCTGACGTTGGCAGAACCTATCTGCACCCTGGGATGGTGTCCCCCACCCCCAGGTGCAGGATGGTCTTCACCCACCTCTCCCGTACACACTTCCTCTTCAGAACCCTAGGCAGAAGTGCATCCTTTCCAAAGCTGTTGCCCTCCTGGGGCCTCCTGCTACCCCGCCACTTGAGCCTTGCCCGGCCCTGCCAAGGGCAGCGTCTACTTACTGCCAGAACTCGCCAAGGGACAGACTTAACCCAAAATAGCTTTATTGTTGTCTCTGCTCCCGATAGAAAAGCATCCTCAGAACCCTAGCCCAGCTCCCCGTGGGAATGAACATGGCTGCATGTCAGCAACTCTGGCTGGGGCCCCGTGGGCCCTTCTGCTGGGAGGGACGAGCCCTAGGCCCACCCTAGCCACCCGTTCCCATGTCCCACCAACCCCCAGGGCTGAGCCCCCGTGCAGTGCAGAAGTTTAAGCCTGAGACTGACCAGATACAGTGAAACCCAGGCCCTCCTTGACCCTGGCTGTTGAAGTGGAGGGGGCACGCCACAGCAGCTGCCAGCTGTCTCCAGGAAACACCGAATGGTGGGGTCCCTCGGATAGAGGCTGGGCTCGCTTGAGGTCATAGGATAGCATTTCGCTCTTCCTGAGTTTTGGGGTTCCACCTGCTCGGCCACTGCCGCCGGGGATTGATCCCTCCCAGCTCTAGTATTTCCTGCCTCTGGAGAGGAGGACCGCATAGGGACCCTGGGGCCCATCAACGCCAGGGCTTGTCAAGGGTCACCTGGGGGCGGGGTGGGGGGGGGGGGCAGGGGTGTAGCAAACAGAGTGACATCCTGTGGAAGGAGGGGGGGGCGGTGCCCAGGTGGTGAGTCTGGGAAGCGGGCTGCAGGAGGGGCCTGGGGCCAGGTGTGAGGCGTGGGTGCCTCTGGACTACAGCAGCTGCAGCTGCACCTTTAGCCGCAAGGCCCGGCCTACCGGCCACCCCTCAGGCGGGGTGCCCCAGGCCCCAGCCACGCTCACCACCTCCAGCTGGTAGGTTCCAGGCCCCGGCCTCCGACGCCCCAGCTGCAGGGAGCTGAGGCCGCGGAGGTGATGCATGCGGAAGAAACCTTGCTCGTTGCCACGGGCAATGATGTAGCGGACGCGGCCCCCCAGACCCTCCAGCGCCGGCCGCAGCTCTAGGATGTGCTTGGCCCGGCCCAGGCGGGAGAGGTTCAGGCCCAAGGTCAGCGGAGCCTCCGAATCAAGGCTGGCCAGGCTCGCCTGGGGAGAAAGACCAGGTGGATGATGGCAGGGGCTGGGAGAAATCAGAATGCGGTGGGTAGGGGGCCAAGAGGAGAATTTTAGGCAATCTTTAAAATGGAAGAAAACACGGACCACTCCCTGCCCTTGACTCCTGTCTCCCTCCCCACCCACAAGGCCAACGGTCAGCTTGGGCTATAGTAGAGGATGGAGGTGGAGGCTGGTTCCCAGGTGGAAAGGAAACCTTTTCACAGGTTGACTCCAGACCCCTTGTTTCAACTGAGGGGCCTTAGTTCGATCCCTGCCAGCCTGGTGGAGGAAATGGAGAATTTTCCCTCACATACCCAGACTGGGAGGCAGTCAGATGGCATCTGGCCCCAAAGCACCCAAGGTCACTCAAAGGCGGTCTGGGGTGGCTGGAATTATGACCAAGGGCCTTGCAGCACGAGCCAGCCCCAGACACAGTGAGAGAAACACAAGACCCTGCTGGGCCATACAGAGGAGCTGCCCGGTAGCTATCCGGTTCCTGGAGGCTGGCTGCACTTCCTGCATCTGGGCTCTCTGAGAGCCCCCCTGTGTGCAGATGACAAACCCCTCTTTATCTGAGCTCCTCAGAATGCTTCCTGGTCCTGGCAGCCGGACAGGGCCCTGAATAAGCCAGCAAACCTCAAAGGCAGGCTGACGGGGGCTGGGTGACACATCCAATCCCACAGGAGGTTATCTGTGCTTTCTTCTCCTTTGCTCTGGGCAGAGCTGTTTGTTCTGCCTAATTTACATGCTGATGGAGTGTTTTGCTGTTGCAGGAAAGTGAAAACTATTCTTGTTTCCCAGCCCTTCACCAGGACTGTTGCTCAGACATGTGCTCTTACTGACACCTGCTGGCAATAAGTGGGTATTGCAGGCAAAGCCACAGGACCCTGCCTGCCTCTGCCCAGATCTGCTTGTGTCCATGCCAGGAGCCCTGACAACCTCTCCACTCACTCTGAGTAGCAAGGGCTGGTGACACAGTGGCAAACCTGACAGACACTGGGCCCTATCCCTGTGATGCTTACAAAAATAACAATGGGAATAATGTGTACACACACTCTTTTTCCCAGAAAGGGGAAACAACTAGAAAGAAAAGGAAAGCGAAGGAACATTCATATTTAGATAATCTAATATTGAGAGCCCCTCAGACCCAGCATTCCTGTCCCACTTCTGCCTTCATTTTTTCCCCATAGCATTTATCATGTATCATACTTATCACGTGTTACAAAATATGATGTGCTTTACATATTTCTTGTCTGTCTCTCGATTAGAATATCAGTCCTATGGGGAAAGGGACTTTTTTTTTATTATGTGTTTTATGTGTTGTTCACTGTTGCTCCATTTTTTTGGTTGTTCGCTATGAGTCCAGCACACAGTAGGTGTTCAGTAAAATCTATGGAGTGAAGGAGTTTGGTTCCAGATGTGGGTAATGGCTTCTGTGCTCAGTGATTTTTTTTTTTTTTTTGAAATAACAGAAAGTAATGACCTCAGAAGGTGGTGGCTGCAGAGGGGCCCGGGATGACTGCCATCCTGCTCTGCCAGTTTTTAGTTCTGTAACTTGGGCATGTGACCTAACTTCTCTGAGCGTCAGTTTTCCCGTCTGTAAAATGAGGATGATAGTGGTACCTACACCTCCCAGGGCTGTCGTAAACATTGAGAGGTTGTGAATGAATGCAGAATGCTTGGAGCACCACGTGTATCCAGCAGGTGCTTAATAAATGGTTAGCTTTCAGATTCTTTGGGGCATAGTGGCAAGACCAGCCATCAGTGGCCTCAAGGACTTTTCAGCTGAAGGACAAGCAAGCTGAATTTGTGACAAAACTGCCCTCCCTGCACAACCTGGTGGGGTCAGGGTCATAGCTGGAGTAGCCCCAGGGGACAGAGGGCCTAAACCACAGGCCTGCTCTGCTGTTCTTGAGAGCACGGCGGGTGGGGTGGGGGAGAGACAAGGAGGGCTCAGGAGGCTTGAGCATAGCTCCAGGAGCATTGTGGGTGCAGGAAAGAGGTGCAGAGGGTCTGAAGGAAGGGGATGATGGAATCGGTTAAGCTAGCTGCTCTGAGCGCTGTTGGTGCTAAATCCAGAGGGGCTCTGAGGGAGGGCTGTGCCAGCCAGGAGGTGACAGGTGACAAGTTCCAGGGTGCAGGCAGGGTTGGGGGGCCCAAGGCATTTTTCTTGCATTGAAGCTCCATGGAAGGGATCCACGGGAGGCATCACACGCAGGGCGTGTGTGGGAGGTGCCTGACTTCTCATCTGGAGCAAGGTGGGGTGCTTGGGGGCCTGTGTCCCCCAGAGAGCCCCCAAGGGGAATCCTCAGGCTGAGGAACTACAGAAAGGCACCATGATTTAGGGGACAAGCTGTGACATGGAGCCTGGTCCTCTTACCCCTGGCCGGTTCCCTGGCTGTCCCTGCCACTCACTGTGCCCCATGCCCAGTGCATTCCCCATGGCACCTGATAGTCCCCATGGGGGCTGCGCCGTGGCCGGTCACGAGGGGGCTGGCTGTTGATCTTGCATTCGTAGCAGGCTTCGGATGAGAGCAGCTCCTCCTCGTCTGGGGCATCCTGAGGTCCAGGGCTGAAGCCCAGGCCAGAGACACAGTGCCTGGGCCAGGACAGGGGTGGGCAAGTGTTCAGGGGCAGGCTGATGGGACCTCCCTTACCACCCTCCCACCCCCTACACTCCATTTGGAGCCACTCTGCCCATGGAGGCAACTATGAGTGTACCAAGGTGCCAGTGCGGATTTGCATGTGCCTACACGTGTATGTGTGCATCCCTTGGCTTTCCCGGGTGTAGGTGTGAAACTGCATGCATGCAGGGGTGTAGGATATACCTGAGTGTACCCAGGGGCATATGCGTGTATGAGCCTGTGTGCACCCTGGATGCTGACATGCACTTGCACGCATGTGCACATTGGCATGTATGAATGAGGGTGCCCGGGCATGTTGGCACAGGTGTGAGCCTCACACACACTCACGTGTATTACAGGGAGGCGTGCATCCTGCACTAAGCACATACAGGACAATTACTCCACGTGGGGTGTGAGCTTGTGTGTGCACAGGTACAGGTGCCACTTGGCCTCTGCACCCATTTCTCTTTTTTGTTTTTTGTTTTTGTTTGTTTTTGTTTTGGCCACGTGGCGTGTGTAGCATGTGGGATCTTAGTTCCCCGACCAGGATCAAACCCACGCCCCCTGCAGTGGGAGCAGAGTCTCAACCACTGGACCACTGGGGAAGTCCCCTGCACCCATTTCTCCATGCACACGTATGTACGTGAACGTGTGCACAGGCCCATGTGTGTGTGGGTGTGTGCACTCCCAGGGTTCGGGTGCCAGTGTCCACCCGGCTCAAGCCCCTCACCCTTGCCCAGCCCGAAAGTAGCCTCGGGGGCAGCCGCACAGGAAGCCGCCGGGGGTGTTGGCACAGCTGTAGCTACAGGGGCCACCCCGCACCGCACACTCATCCACGTCCTGGCAGCCCCCGAGGGCCTGGTTGAAGTCAAAGCCGGAGGGGCAGACGCAGCGGAAGCCGCCCAGCATGTTGTGGCAGGAGGCGCTGCCGCAGGCCGCGGGTGACAGGACACACTCGTTCTTGTCTGTGGAGGGGGAGGGGGAGGACAGGGGGAGGGGCAGGGGACAGCCTTTGCCTCTCCAGATCCCTCCACATGCATCCCTCCCGTGCCCACATGGCAACTCTGGTTTCTCCTTCAGAGCCCAAGGCCAACGTCTAAACCTCCATCAAGCTCCCGGTGAGCCTCTGGACTAGGTCTGCTGTCCCCTACACTCCTTCATCTGCCCCCCACCCCCACCCCCACCCCCATCCTGTAATTCTCCTTTAAAGCATTTCTCAAAACTTCCCAGGAATGTGAAACGGTGGCACGGTCTAGAACAAGGTTCCCCACCTCAGCACTATTCTCATTAGGGGCCGTTTCATTCTCTGTGATGGCGGCCGTCCTGCACACTGCAGGGTGTTGAGCAGCATCCCTGGTGTCCACCCACTAAATTCCAGGAGCACCCAGTGCCCAGTTGTGACCATCAAAAATATCTCCAAGAGGGCTTCCCTGGTGGCACAGTGGTTGAGAGTCCGCCTGCCGATGCAGGGGACGCGGGTTCGTGCCCCGGTCCAGGAAGATACCACATGCCGCGGAGCGGCTGGGCCTGTGAGCCATGGCCGCTGAGCCTGCGCGTCCGGAGCCTGTGCTCCGCAACGGGAGAGGCCACAACAGTGAGAGGCCCGCGTACCACAAAAAAAAAAAATCTCCAAGACACTTCAAAACGGTGCCCAGTTGAGAACCACTGGCCTAATTAATCCCTGTCTCCCCTGAAAGACTGGACAATGGGAGGGCAGGGATGGAGTCTGGTCTCAGCTCACTTCTGTAACCGTGGGTCCTGGGCAAACTGTCGCCGAAGGAATGAATGAGTAACTAATGTGGAGCAGGCTGAGAAAGAGGGATTGGCAGCAGAGGCAATGGTCTGTGGGGTCCCCAGGGGACAAATGCCAAGGAACAGAGGAAAAGACAGAGAACTTAGCTGAGGACCCACCAGGAGGGGCAGGAGGACGAGCTGGAGAGAAGGCAGTGCCGAGGCAGTGGGAGGGAGGGGAAAGCCGAGTCACAGAGGCCGTGGGTGGAGAGTCCAGGAGGGGCAGGCAGTGGTGCCCAGAGCAAAGGAAGTGGAAGGTGAAATCTGGGGACAGGTGATGGAGAGGATGCAGGAGAGTGGTCCCTACATGGGTACAGAGTGAAGGCCAGACTGCAGAGGAGGAACAAAGAGAGGTGGTGAGGACGAGGCTGTCATTGGGAGGCCCCAGAGCAGCAAAGAGAAGGGTGCAGTGGGCAAGGTTGGAGGGAAGGCAGAAGGCTAGTCCCCCAAACCAAGGGCGTCTGCAACAGCTAGGACAAAAGATGCAGCATGCACGCACCCATTTCCGTTGCCACATCCATGGCAGACGTCACTAATCAATCCCAGCACCCCTTTCCCAGTGATCACAGATACCATCTCAGAATCTTTCTCCACTGAGCCCTCCAGACCATCACTCCCTAAGAAACGGCCATCACTCCCTAAGAAACAGCCTTTGCCAGGCTGACTCTGCAGACCCTTGACTCCCCAGCCCGCCCAGCAGCAGGGAACTAACTACCTTCCAGACCAGCCCATTGGACCTTGAGGTACTTGTGCTTATCACAACATCCTGCCATGGGGGTGGTTCCCAGTCGCCCGCTTTGGATAGATTCTGGTCGGGGGTCGGCTTCCTCCCAGCCCCCACCACTCACCCACACACTGGCCCCACTGGGAGTGTGGGGTGAAGCCCTGGGGGCAGCCACAGCGGTAACCCCCCAGCTCATTCTGGCAGCCATGCTGGCAGCGATGAGGCCCGTCACATTCATCCACATCTGTGAGATGCCGAGAGGAGAGAAGGCTTGCCAGGCAGCCCTCAGGACCACCCCCAGGGCCTAGACCCCACCCAAAGCTCGGTTCTACCTTTGCAGCCATGGCCTGAGCTGTCCAGTGTGAAGCCTTGATAGCACTCACAGCTGAAGCTGCCTGGGGCATTGTGGCAGTGTCCACGGGTGCCACATGGGCCGGGCTGGGCCAAGCACTCGTTATTGTCTGCAGAGGACATAGAATGGGCAGGGCCACCTGCTGGTTAGGAGGTTCATGTCAGGCACCACGATACCAGGCCTACCACCTGATCAACTGTTCCAGGCAAATCTTTTACACACACACACATCTATATATATATACATATACACACATATTGTTTGGCTGCACCATGCAGCTTGTGGGATCTTAGTTCCCAGACCAGGGATCGAACACACAGCCCCGGCATTGGAAGTGCGGAGTCTCAACCACTGGACAGCCAGGGAAGTCCCCCAGGCAAATCTTAACCTCTCTGGGCCTCAGTTTTCCTCTCTGTGAAAGGAGATCCATAACAGTTCCCACTTCACAGAACTGTCACAAACACTTGAGATCATGCACATATAGGACTTTGAATCTCATCTCTACCACCTCAGTGCTGTGTGATGTAGGGCAACCGACTTACCCTCTCTGTGCCTCAGTTTTGTCAGCTGTAGTATGGAGATGATAATATCTACCTCATTGTGTTTTGTGAGAATTAAATTAACCTAATCACATGAAGCACTGGGACAGTGCTCAACCTAAGAGTAAAAGATTAACAAAACCCCTTTTCCTTCTCTGTGGGAAAACGACCTGGGGTAACTGTTGCACTCTGTCCTCATGGGAACCTGACAATTGTGGGATGTCAGCCAGAGTTATGGATTGAATGTGTGTGTCCCCCCCCCCGCCCCACCCCCAATGCCACCACTGCCAAATTCCCACGTTGAAACCCTAACCCCCAGAGTGACAGTATTAGGAGGCGAGACCTCTGGGAGGTGATTAGGGTTAGAAGAGGTCATGAGGGTGGGGCCCTAATGATGGGATTGGTGCCCTTATAAGAAGAGACACCAAAGAGCTTTACTCTTGTTCTCTCCCTGCCACATGAGGACACAGGAGGAAGGTGGCCGTATGCAAGCCAGGAAAAGGCCCTCATCAGAACCTGACCCTGTTAGCATGTTAATCTTGGACTTAGAGCCTCCACACTGTGAGCAATGTCTGTTTTTTAAGCCACCCAGTCTATGATATTTTGTCATGGCAGCCCGAGCTAAGACAGGCCTGGTTATCAGGCAACATTATTGCTATGGTGGTCATGGCCCATGGTGTTAAATTGCATTGGGATTGGGGTCATGGAGAATGAACCATACATTTCTAGGGGGAACCCTAATTTAGGCTTCCTTGACTATGGAGATTTTTTTTTTTAAGTTTTAAAAATTTATTGTATTGAAGTATAGTTGATTTACAATGTTGTGTTAGTTTCTGGTGTACAGCAAAGTGACTCAGTTATACATAAATATATTCTTTTCCATTATGGTTTATTGAGTGATATTGAATATATCGATACTTCATGTGCTATACAGTAGGACCTTGTTGTTTATCCATTCTCTATATAATAGTTTGTATCTGCTAGTCCCAAACTCCCACTCCATCCCTCCCCTCCCCCTTGGCAACCACAGGTCTGTTCTCTATGTCTGTGAGTTCGTTTCTGTTTTGTAAATAAGTTCATTTGTGTTTTATTTTAGAGTCCACGTATAAGTGATATCATATGGTATTTGTCTTTGTCTGACTTACTTCACTTAGTATGATAATCTCTTGGTCCATCCATGTTGCTGCAAATGGCATTATTTCATACTTTTTTATGGCTGAGTAGTATTCCACTGTATATATACACACCACATCTTCTTTATTTTTTTATTTTATTTTATTTTTTGTGGTATGCGGGCCTCTCACTGTTGTGGCCTCTCCCATTGCGGAGCACAGGCTCCGGACGTGCAGGCTCAGCGGCCATGGCTCATGGGCCCAGCCGCTCCGCGGCACGTGGGATCCTCCCAGACCGGGGCACGAACCCGTGTCCCCTGCATCGGCAGGCGGACTCTCAACCACTGCGCCACCAGGGAAGCCCTGAATATGGAGATTCTTGACACCAGGCACATCCCTGTGGGAATGTGGAATCTCTCTTGGGTACAAGAGGCATTGGGACATGGGGCTTCTAAGCCTCTGTGTGCACACACATACAGATGCACACACACAAATGCCATAGTAAGTGTGCTCACCTTAGGAAGGAGGGAAAATAACTTGACTGTACAGAAAAAGGAGAAATGCCAGTCATTTTGTGGCTAGGAATGGTCACTCCTCCCACAGATATGCACATGGCTCACTCCTTCACCTCCTTCAAATCTTTCCCCTTTCAGTGAGGCTTGCCATTATTCCTGCAGCCCACCTAGCAATTCCACTTCTGGGTGTATTTATCCAAAGAAAATGAAAACACTAACTTGAAAAGATATCTGCACCCCTATGTTCACTGCAGCATTATTCAGAATAGTCAAGACCTGGGAACAATCTAAGTATCCAAACATGGATAAATAAAGAAAATGTGTTATATACGTACAATGGAATATTATTCAGCTATAAAAAAAGAAGGCGATCCTGCCATTTGTGATAACATGGTTGGACCTTGTGGGTATTTTGCTAAGATGAAATCAGTCAGATAGAGAAAGACAAATGCTGTGTGATCCCACTTATATGTGGAATCTAAAAACAAAACAAGAAAGCCAAGTTCACAGATAACAGAGAACAGACTTGTGGTTGCCAGAGGAGGGTTTGGGGGGTGATTGAAAGGGGTTAAGGTGGTCAAAGGTACAAACTTTCAGTTATAAAATAAATAAGTCATGGGATGTAATGTACAGCATGGTGACTGTGGTTAATAATACTGCATTGAGGGCTTCCCTGCTGGCGCAGTGGCTAAGAATCTGCCTGCCAATGCAGGGGACACTGGGTTCGAGCCCTGGTCTGGGAAGATCCCACATGCCACGGAGCAACTAAGCCCGTGCGCCACAACTACTGAGACTGAGCTCTAGAGCCCAGAAGCCACAACTACTGAGCCCGCATGCCACAACTACTAAAGCCGGCGCACCTAGAGCCCGTGCTCCGCAACAAGAGAAGCCACCACAGTGAGAAGCCCGCACACCACAACTAGAGAAATCCTGTGCACAGCAATGAAGACCCAACGCAGCCAAAAATAAAATAAAAAAAAAAAAAATACAGCATTGAATGAGATAATGCCATTTGCAGCAACATGGATGGACCTAGAGGTTATTATACTAAGCAAAGTAAGTCAGAGAATGACAGATATTATATGATATCACTTATATGTGGAATCTAAAAATATGATACAAATGAACTTATTTACAAAACAGAAATAGACTCACAGACTTAGAAAACTAATTTATGGTTACCAAAGGGGAAAGGTGAGGGGGAGGGATGAATTAGGAGTTTGGGATTAACATATACACACACAAAAATAGATAATCAACGAAGACCTACTGTAGAGCACAGGGAACTCCACTCAATATTCTGTAATAACCTATATGGGAAAAGAATCTGAAAAAGAATAAATATGTGTATATGTATAACTGATTCACTTTGCTGTACACCTGAAACTAACACAACACTGTAAATCAACTATACCCCAATATAAAATAAAAATTAAATTAAAAAATCTGTTAAGGAAAAAAAAATAATACTGTACTGTACGTTTGAAAGTTGCTAAGAGAGTATATATTAAGAGTTCTCATCACAAGAAAAAAATTTTGTAACTATGTGATGATGGATGTTAACTAGACTTACTGTGGTGATCACTTTGCAATATACATAAATATCGAGTCATTATGTTGTACACCTAAAACTAATATAATGTTACATGTCAATTATATCTCACTTAAAAAATAGAATTATATTGCAGCCCTCCTGATTGCCTTCCCCTGCTTTCTACTTTTTCTTTCTTTCATGTCCCACATCACCTTCTGACAGCCTACAGTGGTAATTTGTTATGTCTGTTTCTAGTCATTCCCTGGCAGAAGGGATGGTTCATGAGGCAGCGAGCTTGACCTTTGTGTTCAGTTGCTGTGCCCTCAGGGTCTAGAACAGGAGGAGGCAAACTGCTTCCGTAAAGGGCCAGGTAGGAAATATTTTTTACTCTGTTGCAACTACTTGGCTCTGCTGTTGTAGCAACTGCAGCCACAGACAATACATAAATGAATGGGCATGGCTGTGTGCCAATAAAACTTTACTGACAAAAGCAAGCAGGGGGTCGGGCTTGACCTGGGGGCTTAAGTCTGCTGAGCTCTGGTCTAGAGCACTGCCTGGTACACAGGTGTTCAGTAGGTGTTGGCTGAGTGGATTCATGGGAGCCTGAACGAAGCCACCCGTGTCTAGGTTCAGCCCTTGGGGGAGGTCTGGTTCTCCCAGGTCACAAGACACTAAGAAGTGACAGTTGGATTGCGTGAGCCGCTTGGCTTTTGGGGGCACCCTGGGGAGGCCCTCTGCCGAGAGACTCGGCAGGTCAAGGGCGAGGGTAGGTGTCCTGGGCCAAGGTCAGAGAGACTCCTGAGGGTGGCCTCCCAGGTCCCTAGGGCAAGGAAGGAGACTGAGGTCCCAGGTGCCACCAGGACGTAAGCAGCGACAGAGCACGGGCTTTGTTCTAATCACCCCCGTGTCCCCGATGTCTGGCACACACTGTGCATTTGCCACTTATTTGATGAAGGCTGGGGCCAAGCACCAGCCGTGACGGCCGAGGGGACTCACCGAAGCAGGCCTGGTGGCGCTGGGTGAAGCCAGGGGGACAGCGGCAGGTGAAGGCACCGATGGTGTTGACGCAGAAGAACTGGCAGTTGTGCTGCCTGGAGGAGCACTCGTCCACGTCTGCAGCACAGAGGGTCCCAGCGGGCTCAGGGCAGGGCCCGCCGGGACTGGGGGCTTCCCAGGGGAGACACCCTGGAGACGGCCCCCGACCCCATGCAGATGCCCCTCGGGGGGAAAGGGACAGAGCCCCACGGCACGTGGGTGGGGAGAGAGGGACGTCACCTCTGCAGATCCTGCCTTTCTCCTCCAGCAGGTAGCCTCGGGGGCAGGCGCACAGGAAGCTGCCCTCGGTGTTTTTGCAGAGGAAGGGACATGGCGTGGGGACCTGGCTGCACTCGTCCACATCTAGAGGGGACGCAGCACTCAGGAGGGTCAGTCAGACATTCCTGGGGGCTCAGGGGCTGGGGTCCCCACCCCCACCCTGCTGAGGCCTCCTTCCCGGACCCCAGCTATTCAGAATCTGTGGGCTTACACAAGGAACTGGGGTTTTTGTTTGTTTGTTTGTTTTTCTGTAAAAAGCCAGAGAGTAAATATATTTGGCTTGGCGGACCAGGCAGTCTGAATCCCAGCTACTCAACCCTGCCTCTGCAGCAGGAAAACAGCCACAGCGGGTAAGGAAACAAATAGGCGTGGCCGTGTGCCAATAAAACTTTATTAACAAAAATAAGTGGAGGGCTGGACTCGGCCCTTGGGCAGGAATTTGCCGACCCTGACTTAGATCAACACCTGCTACACAACGTGACTGAAAAACTTAGGATGCACCAGATAACAGGAGGAAAGTGGTCCATGTGGGATGGGGGTGGAGGGAAGAAACAAGGATGCTTTGCTTCTGGTCTCAGTTTTCTCACGGGGGTGTGTGCCAGGCGCTGCATGGAGAGGCTCAGGGGGTGGGGCAGGGGGCTCACCCACGCAGGCTGCGGCAGTGGTGTCAGGCGCATACCCAGCCTGGCAGTGGCAGCGGAAGGAGCCAAGGCTATTGATGCACTCGCCATGGGGGCACAGGTGAGCGAGCACGCGGCACTCATCCACGTCTGAGGACAAGCAGGGCTCGGCTGGGGCCGTTCCCCCTGGGTCACCAGGGCATGCCGCCTCCCTTGGGCCCACCAGCCCTCTCCCGGGACGCAAGGCCAGCCTCTGCTTCCCCTCCCGGCACCCCAGAGCTGGCGGCCTGGCCCCTGTGAACCCCACCCTGAGGCGAATGAAACTCCTTCCGCTGGACGCTGAGAATCCCCGTGGTGGGGACACACCCACACCACAGCCTCATCAGCGACACCTCCTCAGGGCACCCCATCCACATACATGGAAGCAGAGATGAACACACAAGCATTGCACACCGGTCACGCGCTAATGAGCCCGCACACACAGAACAAAGCACACACGCACACACGCTGGCTCACACACCTGCTCCCCCATCCCACCCAAGTTCACGCACACGTACAGAGCGACGAACAGGCTCTGGTTCACGCTGGTCCACACACCTGCCAGCACAGAGATGCACACACTGGCTCACGTACTCTAACACCGGCTGGAGCAGACACACAACCGTGAACAGATCGCCACCCACCTTGGCCGTCGGCGGTGTAGCCCGAGCCGTGGGGACACAGCTTCTTGTGGGCGGCAGTGCTGGGCAGGGGACAGAGCTCGCAGTGGGGGCCCCAGCCGCGGCCACCCCCGCAACAGCACTCGGCCCTGGTGACCGCCTTGCCGCCACTGGACTGAGCCTGGCACGTGGCCTGCAGCACCTCAGAGAAGCAGGGCCCTTGCCGGGTGTCTGGAGAGAACGGGTGGGGATGGTGGGTGGGAGGAATGAGCTGTCTGGGTGCCCCTTCCCCGTGGCGTCCAGCTGCGGGGTGGAGAGTGTGCTCGGGGTCAGGGGAGAGTAAAAAGCGGGAAGAGTGGCAAGGACTGTGGGGACAGAGGGACACACAAGTCTCCAGGAGAGACGGTACCACTGGGTCGCCCTCCAGGTTTAGCCCTTAGGAAGTGGTGAACCTGGGGAGGGCCGGTTCCTGGGTGTGATGATGGACAGGGCAGGGGGGAGATGCTCTAATCTTCCAGGGGGTTTGACTGAAGGGACAAAGGGAAGCTGGGGGCGTGCGGTGGACACGTGTGTCTGGATTGGCTCAGTGACCGCATCGGTGGCCCTGGCCCCATCCCCGCCTTGGGGAGCTCCCAGGTGGCGGTGCCACATGCTGGGTGGCTATGTCCCCCGTACCTGGGTCTGGTCACACTCACCGTGGCACTCAGTGAAGCCAGGGCTGGGCTGGAAGCCCTTGTCACAATCACAGCGGAAGCTGCCTGCGGTGTTGACGCAGCGGCCATTGGCACAGAGGCTGGGCTGGGCATGGCATTCATCGTCATCTGAGGCGGGAGGGATGCGGCAGGCCGTGGGGGAGGCCATGGTGGTGTGGAGGCTGGCCTCCACCTCCAGGGTCAATGTCTGCCTACCCACACCCTCTGGCTTTGAACTCTCCCATCCATCGGGGGCAGGGAGACCCTGCATGCCTGAAGCCCTCCTGTACCTGTGCAGCCCTCCCCAGAGCCCAGCTGGGGCCGCATGCCCGGGGGGCAGATGCAGGTGAAGGTGCCGATGAGGTTCTTGCACATCATGCCCCGGGTGTGGCAGTCCTGCTTGCTGTCTGCACACTCGTCCACATCTGCGGGCAACCCCAGACCAATGGCGCTGAAGACCAGACACACCATGGACCAGCTCCAGGATGTGAGGACCTGGACCCCACCCCCCGGTGGCCTCGGTGGGCCAGTGAGGTCCTTGAAGCACTGCCAGGCGCCCGTTCCTCCCCCGACCGTCCCAGACCTCCTGGGAAGCCAAGGGGGGGTGGCCACAACTGCCCCAAACACCTGCATCCCCTGCCTACATCAGGGTCTGTGAATCTGTCTGGCCTTCACTGTGGTCCCTGGAACACTGACTCTGAAATGGCCCTTGAGGGACCAAGTCACAGGCCAGGGTTTCTACCCTCGACACTGTGGACATTTGGGACTAGAAAATTCTTTGTGGTGGGAGCCTCTTCTGCACACTGTAGGATATTGAATAGCACCCCTGGCCACTCGATGCCTGTAGCACCCACCCACCCACCTACCCAACTGTGACAATACAAAATGTCTCCAGACATTGCTACATGTCCCTGGGTTGGGGCACAATCGCTGCCCCCACTGTGCTAGCCCACTCAGAGCATGTCCAGCCACAACTGGAGAGGCCTCCAAAGCCACACTCACTGTTCTGTTAGACTGGGGAGCCAAGGAGATGCTAGCACCCCCTTTCATAACTATAAAAGCAGAACCACTACTCACAAAAGAGCACCCATTGCACCATCACTTGCCTCAGCTCTCCCCTCACTTTATCACTTATTGCTCATTCCCACCCTTGGAGGCAGAGGTCTTATTTCTTCATTTTCGCTCGGGACTGAGGCAGGACCCTATCCATAGCCCGCCTGCCCATACGGGTCATACCTCGGCACATGGCCCCATCCTCTCGCAGGGCATAGCCAGACGGGCAGGTGCACACATAGGAGCCCTCAGTGTTGTGGCAGCGGAAGGCGCAGAGCAGGGGATTCAGGGAGCACTCGTCAATGTCTGGGGAGGTCAGTGGAGGTGCCGGCTGGGTGGGGTCTGCCTGCAGGACCCCCTGTCCCTCCTTCAGGCCAGCCCCCCTCACCCCTATGATAGAGCCCAGGTCTGGGCAGGCAGGGTCGTACCCTCACAGGTCATCATGGGACCAGGCTCAAAGCCATCAGCACAGGCACATTCGAAGCCTCCAATGATATTGGTGCAGGTGCCTTCCCCGCAGGGGTGTCCGACAGAGCACTCGTCTGTGTCTGGGGTGGGGGTAAGGGGGTGGTCAGAGCCTGCAGAGGGCTCCCACCCTTGACGTGATCCTGTCTGCCTCCTGCTGACTTCCTACAGAGTGGATAGGGCCAGATCTGCTGCACCTTTAGGCTGGACGGGGGCTTCCCTGGTGGCGCAGTGGTTCAGAGTCCGCCTGCCGATGCAGGGGACACCGGTTCATGCCCCGGTCCGGGAGGATCCCACATGCCGCGGAGCGGCTGGGCCCGTGAGCCATGGCCGCTGAGCCTGCGCGTCCGGAGCCTGTGCTCCGCAACGGGAGAGGCCACAACAGTGAGAGGCCCGCGTACCGCACAAAAAAATAAATAAATAAAATGCGTAATAGGCCGGACGCAGGGCAGGCATGCAGTTATGTGTTCAATGAATAAATGAATGAGTAAATAAGTGAGTGAATGAATGAGTGAAGAGCAAGTAAATGAATGAAAAGTGGGCGAATGCGTGAATGAATAAGTAAATGAATAAATGAATGAGTGAATAAACAGCAAGAAGCATGAGTGGGTGGGGGAAAGTGACAGTGGCTGAGCTGCAGGGTGCCGCCTTGGGTGGTGCCTGCCCTCCCTGGCTCCTTCCTTCCCTGGTAAGCAGGCTGGGGCGGGCTGGTCACTACAGTGAGAGTACCGCACAAAAAAATAAATAAATAAAATGCGTAATAGGCCGGACGCAGGGCAGGCATGCAGTTATGTGTTCAATGAATAAATGAATGAGTAAATAAGTGAGTGAATGAATGAGTGAAGAGCAAGTAAATGAATGAAAAGTGGGCGAATGCGTGAATGAATAAGTAAATGAATAAATGAATGAGTGAATAAACAGCAAGAAGCATGAGTGGGTGGGGGAAAGTGACAGTGGCTGAGCTGCAGGGTGCCGCCTTGGGTGGTGCCTGCCCTCCCTGGCTCCTTCCTTCCCTGGTAAGCAGGCTGGGGCGGGCTGGTCACTCACCCACGCAGCTGACACCTGTGAAGTCCAGGCTGTAGCCAAAAGGACACTCGCAGCGGAAAGAGCCATCAGTGTTGACACAAAGGCCGTTAGCACAGACGCCAGGGTTCTCCACACACTCGTTCACGTCTGCAGGTAGCGGAGGTTGCAGGCACGGCATCTGTCATGCCCTGGCCACACTCAGGGTCTCTTCCTTCCCTCCAGGGGGGTGGAGTCCAGGGCTACCCATGGGTCGAGGAGGGAGCCTGAGACTTGGGAACCAGGGTAGAGCCCAGACAGGGCTGGGAGGGAAAGGAGAAGACTGCGGTGGCCCAGGGGGGCTCTTAGCACGTGGGCGAGGGGCTCACCTTCCCGAGAATCATCCAGGCCTGGGACTGCCCCGTGGCCAAAAGGGCACAGCTCCTGAAAGGTGGCTGGACACCGAGAGGGGAAGGGAGGTGAGGGTCTGGGGCCACGTGCAGCCCCCAGGATGCCCCTGTGTGTAGGGAAGGCTGAAGGAGAGCAGCTTTCCTGGAGAGGCAAAGTGACTCATTCCAGAGAGCCAGAGGACCCAGATTTCAGACTCCAAATCCTCATTACTGACTCCCAGTCCTTAGCCCTGGACCACCACCGGCCTGAGATGTCCTTACAGATAGGCTGGGGTTTGGTTCACCACTGGCACCCATAACAACAAATACTTGTTGAGTTGCCCTGCCCTCTGCCTTGTTGCCCTAACCTGGGAGAGAAGAGGCCAGCTCAGCCTGGGTGAGGCTAGCCCACACTGGACAAGGCTCCTGGAGATCCATACAAGAAACTGCAGCCCCCTTTTTGGGTGACCCAGCTCTTCCTCACCCCACCTCCCACCTCTTCCCTAACCTGTGTGCTCCCTGGCCCCAGACTCACCAAAGCAACGGTGCCCGTTGTCAGACAGGACAAAGCCAGGCGAACAGAGGCACTGGAAGCTCCCGGGGCTGTTGGTACAGGTGCCAAAGAGGCACAGGTTGGGCTCTTCCAAGCATTCGTTGATGTCTGGAGGGGCAGGGACATGAGGTGGGTGGGGTGCAGCAGGCCCTCCACTGGGGTGGGTGGCCTCGGCTGCTGGGAGGGGCAGATGGAGTGGGGGGCCCAGCCAGGGAGGGTCCAGGGACTGACGCAGGGTGGGGTCCCCAGGGCTCAGGATTAGCTGGAGCACCAGGTGGGCAGTGTGTGTGTGGGGGGTCTTTCCTAGAAGGTGTCTCCAGGGTAGGGGTCATGGTCTGGAAAAGTTCATCTTTAGAGAGTAAATTTACACAGAGCCAACTAAGACTACATAAAATTAGCCTACAGTGGAGGAAGCTAGCTTGCACTGTACTAGGCTAGCCCATCTGCTAAGGCCAGGTTGGCCCACATTAGCCCAGGCTAGCCCAAGGCTAGTCCAAGTGGATGAGTGGACCAGAGGTGTTCAGGCCAGACTGGTCCTTGACCACCACTCATCAAGCGAGAAGTTCCATGTTTGGTGCAGTGAGACCCACACCCATGCCCATTTTATAGGATTCACGAGGAAGCCTGGGGGCCCCAGAGAGAGAGAGCCCTGAGCCAAGAGAGCATCCTAATAACAATAACAGTATATGGAGCCGTATTGGGCGCTGTGCTAACTGCATCTCTTCACTCACCACCACCCCAGCTGGCATTCCCATTTTACAGATGGGGAAAGAACAGAGGCCCGGAGGTACCTCCCTGGCCCCAGAGCTGGGAGTGAGGCCAGACACTCACCGACACAGTGGTCACTCTGAACCTGGAAGCCAGGGGGACAGATGCAGCGGAAGGAGCCCTCAAGGTTCTGGCAAGTGCCTGGCAGGCAGGTTCCCGCGAGGCTGAGACACTCGTTGGCGTCTGGGGAGAGGAGGAGGAGGGGTCCCAGCAACAGCTGGTGGCAGGGGCTAGCCTGGGGCTAGAACCGGCACCTATGGCCACTGCATGATGGCCAAGGCCCCCAGACAAGCCTTTCTGGATCCAGAGGAAGGGCTGATACTCAGGAAAACAGGGACATCTGGAGAAGAATATTCTCGGTCTTGATGGGGGTTATAGGTGGAGCCAGGGGAAGGGGAAGCAAAGTTCCTAATCTCAAGCCACTTATACACCCCTTTCATGGTTTCCATGGCATCCATTCAACACCTCTATTATACCATATTTCATAAAACTTAGAGCTTCAAGACAGCCTCACCCTAAACCACAAACCCTGTGAAAACATGGGTGTGATGTGCTGGTTTTATACCTTAAAATAAATGCATGCTTATGAAATGGAACCATGCTCACTCGGAAGTACCAACTGCAGGTAAACTTGGAGTAGGGGCTGGCTGAGATGGCTTCCAGCACCATGGTGAGACTCACCTATGCAGTTTTTCCCGTCACTTGTGAGCTCAAAGCCATCCTGGCAGAGGCAGTGGAAGGAGCCTGCTGTGTTGAGGCACTGGCCAAATCGGCACACCTGCCCCACGATGGTGGTGCATTCATCCATGTCTGCAGATGGAAGATGGGCCAGTGGGGTCATCCACATAGCCTATGGCTCTGAGCCTCCCTTGCTCTTCTGTTCACAAAGTTGAGTTGATGGCAATGACTTCAACTTACTGAGCACTTATATACCAGCTGTATATTAACCCTCCAACTATCCTATAAAGCAGACACCAATATTCTCGAATATGAGCATTTTAAGGGTATGAATTTGCCTGTACATACTACCTTAGCTGCATCCCACAAATTCTGTTGTGTTTTCGTTTTCATTTAATTCAAAATGTTTTCTAATTTTCTTTATGATTTGTTCCTTTTTCTATGGATTCTTTGGGAGTATATTATTTAACTTCCAAACAGTTGGGGATTTTCTGGCTATCTTTCTGTGACTGATTTCTAGTTTAATTCACTTACATTCCAAGGACCTATCTTGTGTAACCTCAATTTTAAAAATTTTGTTGTTTATCTTATGGCCCAGAATATGGTCTTTCCTGGTGAAGGTCCATGGGCACCTGAGAAGAATGTATGTTCTGGAATGTTCTATAACTATCACTCAGGTCTAGGTGGTTCACGTGATTGTTCAAGTGTTCTATGTTCTTACTGATCTTCTATTTGTTCCCTCTATTACTGAGGAAGGAGCATTAAAGCCTCTAACTGTAATTATGAATTTGTCTATTTCATTTTCAGTTCTATCAATGTTTACTTCATGTGTTTTGAAGCTCTATTGCTAGCTGCATATGCATTTATGATTGCTATGTCTTCTCAGAGAAATGACCCCTTAATCAATATATATTGACTCTCTTTATTTCTGGTAATCTTCCTTGTTCAGAAGTCAATTTGGGGGCTTCCCTGGTGGTGCAGTGGTTGAGAATCCGCCTGCCAATGAAGGGGGCACGGGTTCGAGCCCTGGTCTGGGAAGATCCCACATGCCACGGAACAACTAAGCCTGTGCGCCACAACTAATGAGCCTGCGCTCTAGAGCCTGCGAGCCACAACTGCTGACCCCACACGCCACAACTACTGAAGCCTACGCGCCAAGAGCCCATGCTCCGCGACAAGAGAAGCCACCGCAATGAGAAGCCCACGCACCGCAATGAAGAGTAGCCCCCGCTCGCTGCAACTAAAATAAAAGCCCGCAAGCAGCAACAAAGACCCAACACAGCCATAAATAAATAAACAAATAAATAAATTTATAAAAAAAAAAAGTCAATTTGGTCTGATATTAAGATAGGTAGGCACTACTATTAATCTTTTTACAGAGAAGGAAACTGAAGCACAGAGAGGTAAATGACTTGCCTAGGGTCACACAGCTGGCAGATGGCAAAGCTGGGATTTGAACTCACACCACCTGACCTTGGAATCCACTTTCAACCACAGCACTCAACTGCCAGCATCACACCACCCACGTCTTGTCTTCACTGTTCACCTCTCTGTACTGTCCATTTCCTTCTTATCAACCTGAGTGTAAGCTCTAGTGAGGGACCCTTGGTACTTGACAATCGAAGGGGTTTGGAGAACTTTACGGTTAACTAGTTTTCAATCCCCTGAGGTTGTTTTCCTGAAGGCATCCCTGGGGCGAGATCCTTTATTTCAGAGGGGTACCCTCAAGCCAAGGACCCACTTTTCAGTGGGGGTGCACTGAGGCTTGCCCACCAGCCTGGACAGCTCACCCACGCAATGTCCGTTGTGTGTCGCCACAAAGCCAGGGAAGCAGAGGCAGCTGTAGGAGCCGACGACATTCTTGCAGGTCCCATTTCCGCATGGCTGCTGGTCACACTCGTCGACGTCTGCCAGAGCAAAGCCCCTGATCCCCGCCCAGCTGACCCAGGGCATCGGGCAGCTTGGGCAGTGAGGACCTGGCTGGACCCAGCCCCCCTCTCCTGCACTTCACCCTGCTCAGATGGATGGGAAGTGATGGCTGGGAAATATCCCTATTTATCACTTCCATTCTACAGATGGGAAAACTGAGGTGCAGGGAGGTGAATAAGTCATTTACCCAAGGTCTTAGGTGCCAGGGCTCACAGCTGTGAGTCTGTGTATCAGGATGGGCAGAAGCACCATCCCCACCCCAGGGGAGGTGTAGACCCATGGCCCCTCGCCCTTGGCAGCCTGGCCTAAGAGGAAGGAGCAGAGGGGGCTCTCACCCATGCACAGGGTCTGGTCTGCTGAAGCCCGGAAGCCACGGTGACACAGGCACATGTAGCTATCAGCTGTGTCCACGCAGTCGCCATGGCTACAGACGTTTGGGATCTCCCGACACTCATTCCGTCCTGAGGGAGGGCAGGGAGTGTGGTGCCCCCAGAGTCCCCACCCCACCGTGTGTTGCGAGCCATCACACGTGGCAGTGGGAGAGCCCGACCGCCTACCCATTCTAGCTGCTGTCCCAGGGGAAATGCTTCACCTCCCATTTCACCCTCACAACTCCCCTGTTAACAGATGCTCTCAGCACCCCACCCCAAAGTACAGCCAAGGAGCCAATTCCCGGGCAGTCCAGAGCTTATAACTCCACGCTTCCACTGCAGTGGGGCACGGGTTCGATCCCTAGTCAGGGAACTAAGATCCTGCAAGCTGTGTGGCACAGCCAAGGAACAAAGCCCGGACAGAGCCGTGCCCTACCCAAGTCACAGCGGGAGGCAGAGTCTGGCTTTGTCCTACCCCCTACTCCCTCACCTCCCTACTGGGGTCCCCACTTACCCACACAGGCACCCCCTGGCGACAGCTTGTACCCTCGGGCGCACTTGCAGCGGTAGCTGCCAGGGATGTTGATGCAGTTGGCATTCTGCTGGCAGGGGCTCTCCCCGCTGGCACACTCGTCCACATCTGGGGAGTACAGCCAGCGGGGTGGGGTTGAAAGAGATGCTTCCCTGCAGAATCAAACCCTAAACCCAGCCCTCCCCGCCCACTTCAGAGCAGGTGGTCCCTCCAGAAGCAGCCAGAACCACATTGAGTGGGGTGATGTGGGATGGAGCCCCTCAGAAAGGCTTTAGCCCCATACACAGAGGGGGAAACTGAGGCTCACGGGGTTTAAAAGACTTGCCCAGAGAGCACAGGCTGGGAGGGGGGACCAGCATCCCACCCGGGGCTGGGGAGGCAGGGGGGTGGCACCTTCGCAGACCAGCAGCACCCCATTGTAGCTGAAGCCTGTGGGGCACTCGCAGCGGAAGCTCCCAATCTGGTTGATGCAGACGCCATTGGCACAGATGGCAGGGATCTCCCCACACTCGTCGATGTCTGGGGAGGGCGCCAGCTGTCAGGAGCAGCTCAGCCCCCGGCAACGTCTGGGGACCCTGACCTAAGAGATCATGCAGTCTAGGAGAAGATGTGTCCCCCAGCCAGCACACACTTGAAAAATTCTGCAGTGGCCAAACTATATCTGCTCACATCGGAAAGAAATCAGGATGTGGGAGAGAAGGCAGGGGGAGAGAGCCTCTTTCTCAACAAAAATACACATTTGCTGTGACCCAGCAAGCCTGCTTTGTGGGGCCTCCGGGAACAAAGAAGCCCCGTGTGTGAGCAGGAAGCTGCACGGGAGGACCTGTGGTGACGTTTGGCGAGAAACTGGAAACATCACCGGAAGAATGGATGACAAAATGTGGTCCCTCCCTACAAGGGAATATGATTCATCCTGAAAAAGGGGTGAAACACTGACACTCACTACAACGTGGACGAACCTTGAAAACATGATGCTCAGTGAGAAAAGCCAGTCCCCAAAGGACAAATACCGTACGATTCCATTTATATGAAACGTCCAGAACAGGCAAATTCAAAGAGATGGAGAGTGGAATAGCGGTTGCCAGGGGCTGGGGGAAGGCAGAACAGGGAATGACTGTTCATGGGGACAGGGTTTCTTTTTGTGTGATGAAATGTTCAAACTTAAATTGAAGTGATGGGGCACAACTCTGTGGATATACGAAAACCCACTGAATTGTGCACTTTTGATGGGTGAAGTGAATTATATCTCAATAAAGCTGTTGGTTATATAAAAGAACCTGGAATCCGCCTATGTGTCCATCCATGGGGGACTGACTTATGACCTGGGATGTGTCCACGTATGGAATACTACAAAGTAGGGCAAAGAGGGAGGCAGTGCTGCGTGTAGTAACCTGGCTGGTTCTTCACGACTCTTTGCTGGGTGAGAAAAATAAGTTGCAGACAAGACATAAGAAAGCACAGAATTTATGTCCAACTCCCCAGAAAACAATGCTATACATTTTCAAAGGCGGATCTCTATGTGTGTTTAAATGCATGAAGAAAGAACTAGAAAGAAATACTCCAGGCGTAAAGCATGAATTATAAATCAATAAATCTATTGTTTATATAAAAGAACCTGGAATCGGCCTGTATCCATCCATGGGAGACTGAGTTATGACCTTGGGAGAGTATGAAGGAGACTTAGATTTGAGGGGGTGACTGGAGGGGGAGTTGCTCTTATCTGCTCTGTTCCAATTGTTGAAAATAACGAGAATACAACCGTGGAATGAAAACAACTGAAAATAGGTTCATCAATGAAACACCGCACAGCTGAAATTTGGCATTCAGGTATTAAATTGTACAAAACCTCATTTAACTTAAAAAGGGAGCGTTCTGCTCCACTGCAACACGGATGAACCTTGGGGGCATTATGCTGAGTGAAATAAGACAGCCACAAAAGGACAAATACTGTATGAATCTGTTTCTATGAGGTCAGATTTACAGACAGAGAGTAGAATGGGGGTTCCCAGGAGCTGGGGGAGGGGGATGGGAGTTAGTGTTTAACGGGGACAGAGTTGCAGTTTGGGAAGATGAAAAGTTCTGGAGATGGATGGTGGGGATGGTTGCACAACAGTGTGAATGTAATTAATGCCACTGAACTGGACACATAAAAATGGTTAAAATGGTAAATGTTATGTTATGTGTATTTTTACAGAATTTTAAAAAATGAATAACAATTTACTAAAAATACTCCCATTGCTTTTTTTAAAGAAGGGACAGGATTCCTGGCCTGGGGAGTTGGAAGAATGAGGGTGTGGGGTGGGGGAGGGTGGAAGGGAAAGGGCGGTT